GCCAAATATATGAGCAACCCAGGCTTGTGTCACATTTCCACATTTGTGTCGTTACTGCCACGTGAACCTTCAGCACAACCAAGCATTGTTTTCCAGAAATTAGCTAGAACCAGGATCGGATGGGAAGTTCCACAAGCTAATTCCCGCAGTGCTCTATCACCCTCCATGGCCAAGTGTCTTCCAAAGCATTTCCTTTCCCCATAACAAATTCATACTTATGATGCCATTCAATCTATTTTCTCTAATCAGACAAATCAGTTTTTTAAAAACCACCTTGGGATTGATTAAGAACCCTATATTGCAATGTTCCAGCCTCACTACATTGCTCCAAGATCAACTTCTTTTTCCCCCAGCAGGTCATTTTCCTTCTCTGCATCAAAATAGCCATATTGCTTCTGTGCCTGACAGTCCTGAATGGGTTTCTCTAACACTTGCAACTTCTCATGCAACACTAATCACACGTTAGGTCTGGAAACAGCACTTTTCTACAGACAACATGAGATTTACATGGGTTCCTGGCAACTTCTCCAAATGGTCCTTCAAATCAGTGCCCCATGCCTTGACTCCAAAGGAGCTGGTCTTCCCTCCTAGGAAAACAGGGAATGAATCATTGCCTTGGAACTATAATAAAGCTTACATCCTGATTTTACCATGATTTTGGTCTCTCACTATTCCAACACAGTACTCTGCCTGCCCTAATGAAATGGCACCATACAGCTTGCTTCACTTCTGCTGCAGTTCTCCTTTGACTTTAAAGAACGAGAATCCTTGGGAGCACTTTACACAGGTGTGAGGAATCTCGCTGTTTCCATCTCTTTACACATTCATGCCTCGGGGGCACAATTTATTGGGGAATAGAGATGGTGGGTGGCAGCCATCTTCAGCATGCCCGCTTTCTGGTGGTGCTGAGGATGGTCACTCAAAATACATTTTTTTCCCACAAACCCCAGAAGGGTGCCTTCCCCTGATATCAATGCTTCTGAGGACACTTTCTCCAACCTTCTTCATATTTGCATTTGTTATCTTTGAATCACTCTTAATTCATTTTATGAGTTTTGCTCTATTCTCATCCCAATATCACCTTCCCATACTGGATTCAGCTGACTCACTCAGTAAGATGTAAACTAGTTTTACAGATGGTATTCATTCCAGTATAAGTACATCTCTTTTTATCATGATTCTCACACTTTTCAGATTTATGGTGTAAAAGGAAAAGCAGTGTGGTGTTCTGAGGATTCATGCAACCCTCAAACCAGAATATCAATGTGCTTCTAGTCCCCTCTCACCAGGAAAGCTACCTGGACACTGATTCTCAGCTGAATGTACATCACACAGGGGAAAATGGAAACCAGGAGGGCTGTGAGGTCACCTTACATTCCTTGCAAAAGAAAAAGAAGTGCAAACATACATTTAGCTATAACATAAACTGAAAAAGTCATTTGCATTCAAAGACGCTCATTCCGTCATGTCTTAGTCAGTCAAAATGCCCTCATTCCTTCTATCATTTCTCACATAATTATTTTCCATAAAGTTGGTCATCTTTGTTGCACTACTTCTGAATCCACTCCAGTTTCATTGCATCCTTTTAATAATGTGTTTAATAACTAGAGATGGATGCAGTACTCCAGATGAGGATTTTTAAAAATATGTTTTAGTTTTCAATTTAAAAAGAGAAAGAAATAAGATACAAATAAGAAAAGAAAGACACATACATACATACATACATACGTACGTACGTATATGTATGTGCATGTAGAAGAGAAAAAAAGTACCAAGGGATATTACAGAAATAGAGCATATAATTTCAACATCTAACCTGTTCATGAGAAAGCAAAATTTTCTATGTCCTCTAGCCACAATTAAATTAATCAATTCTCACTTAAAGTGGAACAGCAGATTAATCTAATTTATCAAAACAGTTCCAAATATTGTCATAAATCATGAAATACTAACTGATACTTTACAAATTTTGTTTTCCTAAATATTAGTTGAATGGCTCATACTAAGCTTTCCATTTTTCAATAAAATCTTTGGCATATCCTTTATCTTTTATTTATATAACTAGCTAATTTCACCATTATTGCATATTCACCTAGCTTATTTTTCCAATCTTTGGTAGTTGGACAGTCTTCTGCTTTCCACTTTGATGCTATTGTAACTCTTGCCCTGGTTATCATATATTTAAAGAACTCTAGTACAGTCTTGGGAAGAGTTTCTGGTATAATAATCAATAACATATTCTTAGTATTCATGGAAAAATAATTTGATAATTTTCTACATTTGCACATGTACCTGCTTCCAATTTTTTAGAAAAAAAATCCAATGTCTACAGCATATGAGGATCGACTAGAGCAGTATCAATTGTGAAATGTCAGGCACATCTTTAATATAATCTACAATTCTAAGCAAAATCCAGGGAATGTATTCCATGCATTAAAACATTTTCCTGTGTTCCAATGGGGCATC